ATTGATCTCACCCTCGCCTCTGTTTCGCCGGTGTGTGCGCGCGGCTAAAACGCAGGAAAGGGAACGTAATAGCCTCGCATGATACACCGCCATTAATCCGTGTATATACCCTTCCATACTTTGGAGGAATAGACACCTCGTACGCCTCGGTTTCATAGCCGGTTCATCAGCCGGATATCTCTCCCCGCTTCGCTCTCCTTCGACTCTTCCTGTCTCTTCCTCTCGCTCGCGATGATTTAATTTCGCCCTGTTCCTTATCCCACCCCTCTAACCCTCTTCCCGAGTCTTGCTCGTCTTGTTTCGATTCAGACGGTGCTCGGGCCAATTGGAGATTGAGAGGATCACTGGCCCAGGGTCAGGGGAACGGGGGTTGCTTCTGACCTGGACCCTACGGATCGTCCTTTCAGGATAGAGGCTTTTGGTAGCCGCTTCGGTATTGTTGGATGAGAGACTTGTAAGTGGATTACAAGCATTTACTTTGCGTTTTGCAACGTTTATTGTAGAATTTTATGTGGACAGTAATTACCGGATGGCTGTAGCGGTTGTTTCTCTTCTGGGGATTTATTGTAAGAAAAACGGCACTGGGGCTAATGCTGGTTTCCTTAAACGTCTCTATAAGCGTTTCCTTTTAGAAACTTCCGCGGTTTGATTGTGACTTGAGACGTCTTCGTGAAATAGATGTTAGTTATCGGTAGTACCTGTTGTATTAGTTTCGAGGATATCGTGCGAAGATTCTCTGCCTTCCATGATAGCAGAATAGCAGAGCTATGGGGGATATATCAGTTTATTAGAGCTATCCGACAGTTTCGAATTCTAATCGAGCTTGAAGTCCTAAAAATACTCAAATTCTTTAAACTTGTATTACGAGGATATATGAACTAGACTCAATTACAATTATGAACCGTCATTCATCAAAACGTGTTTCTTATTTACCCTGCCACCCACTGATTCATCCGTCGATCCATCAAAAAATCAAGGTGTGCGTCGTTAAATGAATGAACCGGGGCTAATAAAAACTTGGTCCCATTTCGTAACCTATCATTCCACAGGTAACCGTGTTTGCAGCCCTTAAATGATGGACGAGACGATTAATGATTTCTCTCTCTCTCTTTCTCTTCCGTATCGCGGAACTCCGTTTCGTTGAAAACGGTTCGGCAACGGCTTCGCAGATCCGCGGAAACTCGATGATTGATCGCGGCCACTCACCTGAAGGAACATTTCGCCGTCGAGATGATGATGATCGTACGCCGCGAACGCGGCCAGCTCCCTCGCCCTGTAGTGGGAATCGTGGTGCGAGTTCTCCTCCTTGTCTTTGTGCATCACCACTGCAACAGAAAATTTCGAACGTCACGCGTGCGTAAAAGGTATCATTAAATTGATGAATGATTCGGTTAACTGGCCGAGCGCCTCGATGGCCGGCGCTAGGAGATTATGTGCGGAGTAGCTTGGATTTATGAACGGTAGCTGTTACTGTATCGCAATTGATAATAACGGTGACTTTTTTGCGTTGGATCGTTTACACTTGACGCGTCGGTCGCTGGCACAGTTAAAAATTCGACGCTATCGCGAACACTACGTTTCCGAATCGATAAAGCGTTGATTGGCTGTACTTCGTACGCGATATCGTTTCGACAGCGAAAAGACAAGAAGGCGATGCGTCGGTTGTTCGTTTCGAATGTTATTTACGGCAGAATATGGAAGAGAAGTGATCGTCGCCTCATTAAAAGAGTTATTATTATTGTTTGACGACGCTGGTCCCATGTATTTGTCATTATGACGCGCGTACATAACAGAAAGGAAGGCAGGTGTAACAGATCGACGGATTATTATAGGGCTTAAGAGGAAATGTCGCTCACATCCTGTCACGTATTCCCGGATCTCCTCGAAAGTTCTCCAGTAATCTCTTTCCGTTCCGTAGTTTCGTCTTGCAGATCGCTCGTTCGTTTCTTTTCGGATCGGACGAGATACTCTTATCCGATAGAAATTTGCAAATAAATTACGCGTAATGAACAAGCTTACAAAGTAGCAAGCTCTGTTAATTCGATTTCAATCTGAACGCTGTTTCCAAACACAAGCCACGGAATCAAGATCCCTCGCGGCAATTACTTTACGCACTCTAAACATGAATTTCAACCTTTCACAACATACCACATCATCCCCATGCAATCAAGTCGGTGGTTATAGATTAAAAACACATCTCCGAGCAGTCCAGTACCCGTTTCACCTCGGAAAACCCCGAAACGTTCGACGCGTAACGCTCCTAAGATTCCTAATCTCGCTCGGCATTAGGGCCACCATGGAAATCGCGGATCCATCGCGAGGAAACGCGGCGATCGGAGATCGCGCGGGACATAAGAGGCGCCGTAGAGTGAAACGCATCGGGCGATGCGCACGCATCGTCGCCGGGTCTGGGTGTGCACACGATTTTCGTATCATTTACACGAAGAAACCGATCGCGGCCGGATAAAATACGATATTTCAGGAGTTCCAGGCCGAGGTGAAGTGAAAGCGCTCGGTATCACCCGTACGAGTGGCAGCGCCCGTACGAATAAGAACAAGACCACCTGCGAGTCGGTCTCTCGGGACGGGGCAGGGTCTCTCTGGCTCTCCCGGCCAGGAGCGGCCGGCGATGCGTTTCGAAAGTGAACAACCTCTCGTGGAGCATTTAGCGTCGAAGGGCATCGATGCGTGCATGAAAGATGCGCGACTACGCCGACGGCCGCTCATAAAAACCTGCACGCAATACTCTCTGTCAAGCACGCGTGCGCCACGCGACCCTTCGGGCCAGTTTTCATCGGCGGAGTCATCGGAGGTACGCGGCTGATCCTCCTCCGTCTCCTTAAGAGGATCTATTAACCCTACGAGGCTCTGCGACGGGCTAAGCGCTCTGGGAACACCGAGCGCCGTAATGGCGATGCTAAATTCCTGTTTTGCATTCTTCCTGAGTTACCATTCACGTTCGACGCTTTTCTTCGTCACTAGGCATAGGGTACAGCCTTTTCTCGCTCTTGGCTGGTATATATTGTTCTATTTCTGTGGAAACTGGAATCGGATTGGGAATTGTTTTTCTAGGTTTCTTTCTGAAGCTGATCTGCTTTCTTCTAGTGGAATTCATTGGTTGTTGAATTTAATTGTGATTGGTAGTTATCCTTGTGGTGTTCGGAGTTCCGATGAGATTGGATGTTGCAATGGAGTCATTACTGGAAGATGCTGTTTGGAAAATTGGGAATAATGTATTAAGCAATAGAAAGGGCAATAATCTCTTCATATAATCAATTCTCCAAATTTCAATTTGGTTCTTTTGCAAGCTTCTGTTCCCTTCAGCTTTATTTCTCCTGCAATGATATCGAATTAATAAGAAATTTCAATTGCGAAACACTACTTGCCGAATGCATGGATCAACGTGCAATTTGCATCGGCTTGACGCTGTAATCATGACGCAGAACGCTGAAAAGCGACCAACGCAGCCACGTGGACAGAGGAGGGTAGTAACAGGTTGCATCGAACAGGAAGGAAGATCCGCGGTCCGATTGGGAGACGAACGAGGATCGTTTGAGAGAAGGAACGTAAGGCTCAACGACGCGTGCAGGAAGGATGAGCAAGACGGAGGTTGTTCACTCGTAAATAGTCGCACGCAATGTCGTGGAGCGGGCCGCGTTCTGCCACGCGACCCTCTGGGACAGGACCCCATTAGGATGGCCGTCGGGATAACGGCGTACCGCAGGATACGGAACCTCCGGACCGCATGTGCTTTATTTACCGTCACGACAATTCGATTTTCAATGCCCGACCAAGGGTCTACCCTCCTTCGACCCGACTAACGACCGTTGCTAATGCTTCCTCAATCGATGACTTCTTGCTTCCGGCCGTGCGATCGGGGAAATCACCGAGTAAAGTGTTCCGAAATGATTTTGACGTTTGTGGGATTGTTTATTGTACGTCATCGAGACAGATAAGCTCGTTTTGACGATTCAACTGCAGTACTGTTGTTAAAGGTATTGCATCGGTGATCTATATGTGTATCATTCAAGATTTTAAATGTGATAACTGTTTAACTGCGATACCGCAGATGGCAACTTACGAAAGCTATTAATTGTACATTGTTGTTGTTATCAATATCAGTGTAATGTTATTTACCGTTGTTTGTTGCGTACTTGTGTTCGAATGATGAACAGCTTCCGACGACGATGATTTATAAAAAAATAAGAAAAGAAGAAAGAAACGGGCAAACCGCGGCGGCAACAGGTTTTCGACAAGATTTACGGGCTCCCACGAGAAAAGTCACTGGAATCACGTCGGCCGGTATGTGTGTCACCGGAAGAAAGGTGTTCTGCCCGGGCAAGTGTCACGGAAATCGCTGGAAATAACGCGGCAACAACTGGGAGAACAAAAAGGGAAAAACTGCCGACAGATACGGATCGGGCCTTACAGGCTATCCGTAACACCGTAACACGGAGGTTCAGGTATCGCGATGCACCCGTGAGATCGGCAATAATAATTGTTTCCTCCCGCAAGGTCAATTTGCGAGGAGGCCGAGGGACAGGCCGGAAGCGACGGAATGAAAAGCGGGCGGAGGCCAATCGGAGCGCGCGAGCCGCCGCGATGGGCGAGCCTGCCTCCCATAATTGTTCGAATCTGTGCGTGCCTGCGAATCTCCGGCCGCCGAAAGAAATACGGGAATTTATGCCTTGCAACCTCGAAATGCGCAACTTCTGACGATTCCCTGTGAATCAGCCTTTGCGCAACGTATTCAGTGTCCGGTGGCTAAGTTTCGGTAGCTATTATTACCGGAACATTCGTGTGTTTCGAATTTTCGATGAATTTATTCAAGTTCCTCTGTGACTTTTAATTATCTATAAGTAGTACATTAACTAATAAACTATATATCATTGATGATATTTCACGAGATCTATAACTTCCAAAGATACAAAGGAAATTTCCTTTAATCTTCTATAGACTCGATTAACTCGATCTTCTCCTTCTACATCCTCTCGAAGCTTGATTCCTTCGTAGAATGAAAAAATTGAATAAGCTACCAAGAGTATTGATCCCAAAGATGCTACGCTTCTGTAATTGGTTACAGGTGCTAACTAAGGGTCAGATAATCATCTAAACCCTTCGGTAGACCCATACAGGCCTCGCCTCTTAAGTAACTCCGTTGTTTCCACTCATCGCAAAGCATCGTTGCAACGTGTCAGCTTAATTACCTGCTCTCGCAGCCAGCAGACCGTCATATTTAGACGTCTAGCGAATCCAAATAACGACTACCATCGCGCAGAGCCTATTCCCTGCTACGTTAGGTCCTCACCCCGGCGATGACTTGCGTTTTACGCGGGCTGACTGGTCCCGGGGCCTCGTCTAAGTGAATGGTTAAGTAAATGATTATCTCCTTGAGCGTATAATCGATCGATGATTAATGGGATCGGCGTTGTCGGACGCGGTCCCAATTAGGAAGCGTCCCCGGCGATCAGCGGGACGATACGCGTGCCGCCGCGCCGGTTGATTGTTTCGATCCACGTGGCCCGGGCCACGGTGGGCGCGGTTGCAGTCGATTTTTAATTTTGCCTGTCAGTCTCGCTTCGGATCGCGGCCTGTTTACCGTTACGTCAACGGACGACGGACGTGTGCCGTTTAATACCGAATTATCGGGGACACTGGTCGACGTGCGGCGAACGGTTACGACAACTGCAAGTCACCTTCCTGTGTGTGCATCGGACAGAAAACTGCTGGCAATCTCCTTTCAGTTGACATTCGGATGGTGTGATGTTTGAATAATTAATAGTCCGATGGAATAACTGGATCGACGAAGATTTTATTCTTTAACAGAGATATCTAAGATTGATAGCTGTGTAGATAGACTAGTGAATTTGGAGATACAGATTTTTTGGAGATTAACACATTGCGTATCGGTAACGAGAAATCTCGTTTTTATATAAAGACAGCTATGCAACTTCGCTAATTACCACGGCATTGAAAAAATATAGAATTTAATTCGAATTGATTATCTATTTAAAATATATTACAACAATATATCTGAGTTTCTCTATGTATAGTGATATAAGTTGACCTCAGTGAAAATTTGCCATCCGCACAATTCAGTTCTCTGAAAATTAGCCGGTACGCAATGTGTTAAAAGACCAATTGTCGCATAGAAACATCCTTGGATCGGTCAGAAAGCTAATCTACAGTTAATTCTTAGCCACCTAAATAGACTCGAGTACTAATTACAAAGAAACTATCGATCAAAGTCCTACTATACAAAGAATAACAATTACACATTGAAATTCGCCTGTTTAGGGGTTAAAATCGATACAACCGTAACGAA